CCTTGGCAGTGACAGTCATTGATTCTGCTCATCTTAAACCCAGTGGCCAGTCACCAGATTTACTGGAAAGACACAATTTCCATAAACACAGCACACCAATCCACAAAATGGGGAATCACCTAGTTTACTGGGTGGTGAACTTTCACAATGCCAAAGAAAATGGAATTGATTTGGCACTTCACTTTGTAGAACGCCTTTTGGTGGTGTTATTTGGCTAAAATACTCTTGTGATACAGATGCACATGATGAATTATAAACTAAAATTTCAACCTCTAAAGAATCCCCCCAAAATATGGTAGTGTGGAATGAACCTACATGAATCTTGTAATAATTTCCATATCCCCAAATTGCAAAATAGCAGCAGTTAACATTATGTGCCAACTATTAAGTACTTTAAATTATTGAAATCTGTCATAATCACACTATGAAGAAAGTATGACAGGACAATTATCCTATTTACCATAGATAAAGAAACTGAGGTGCAGAGATAACTTTTCCTCAGGCCATACAGGCTGTTAGGCTCTCAAGTCTGTGCTCTTAAGAGATGATTAACATGGAGTCCTTGACTAGTAATATTTGCTAGTTTTCAAAAAAATTAATCTTTAAATACACTGAAAATTTTGCTTTGTTTACTATTTGTACTTAGACCAATAGGTGAATACTGAACTCTAGGACTGGTTAAGAGTCCTAGAATATATGAAAGGGACATTACCTCCAATTTGAGAGGTAAGTGGAGGGTCAAGGCAAACTTCACAGCAGTGGCATTTAAGCCAGGCCTTGACAGATAATTGTGTACTATGTTTACTTAGTAGGAACCTAGTTAATATAACAGATATTAACAAAACTGGAACTCAGACAACATCAGGAAACAGGTCCTAAACAAAATGCATGTTGCACGTTGTGACAATGGGACCTCTTCAGTCAAAATCCAGTTTACTCAGCTTTCTAATTTCAGGTTTGGCTCTTACCTATATTTCTAATACCAACACAGATCAAGGAAGCCAAAACCTAATCTTTTGTCTCCTCTTTTGATAAAAATCTTTTATTGTCATGACTCAGTGTGCAAAAATACAATATCATCTTTGTAAAAAAATAAACAAAAAATAGAGCACTCTTACTGTGGATCTAGGTAAAAGTCTAACAAAATTTCCTAACACTTCAGTAACCCTGTTCTCATTATGCTGTAAAGTCAAATTAATGAACTTTGATGATGATATACTTAAACCATCAAAACCAAAAATTAAGGCATAATATAATTCAAAATTCACATGCAGAGAAACAATAATCCAAAGAAAATATAATTACAATATTTTGCTGAAGATGGATTTGTACTTTTTAAAATAAAATTCCATACTGGTAAGACTTGGATTGACGATAGCATGATACAGGATAGTATGTACTGCATATACATAGCATAATATTTTTCTGAGACAGGGATTTGTGGTATATAGGAAGAAGAGCTCACATTCAAGACTTGGGTTTATTAAAAAAAATCTCTTCTGTGCTAGATTCTGGATTTCTACTTTTTTTTTTTTCCCCCAAACTGTATCATAGAGCTTAAAAAATTTGATTATATTAGTTTGGTGACATATTGGTAGAGCTGTTCTGTAAATGCTTCATTAGAAAACTTCTCCTTCACCCTGGCTCTTCCAGCCAGACCCATTGTGGCTTTTAAAGAAGGGTCACGGATGAACTTTTCTATTGCTTCTGAGAAGTGCAAGGGGTCAGGCTCACACAGAAACCCTGTGACACTGTGGATGATGGACTCCAAGGGCCCACCAGAATTAACAGCAATGACTGGGCACTGCATGTACATGGCCTCCACAGGGACAATGCCAAAGTGTTCATTGCTTGGTGTGTAAAGCACACATGTGCAGTTGTGGAGGAGCGAAATTTTTTGTTTGTCTGAGAAGGACCGCAGGAAGGTCACATACCCTCCAAGGTCAGATTGCTGGACCATTTTCTTCAATTCCTGATAGTGTTCCACGTTCTCCAGGACTCTCTCATCATAACCACCTGCCATGATCAGATGAACCCTCTCCCAATCTTGAGATGTCAATCGTGCACGTAGCTGTACTAGGGCTTCTAGTGCCAAAGACAGATTTTTCTTCCTTTCATATCTGTTAATGGAGAGGAACAGGAATTCTTTTTCTTTGGGGACTAGGTCATCAAGTTTTTCAGGAACAGTTGAGTCAAAGCTGGTGACATTCAGAGATGGGTAGAGAACATCAGGGTCTATGTGAGATAAGGACTTGAAGGTTTCCTTAAAAATGGAAGCTGTGAATTGGCTGTTGACCAAGATGCAGTCTGCCATGCCTGTGGTGTATTCCTCTATCCAGTCAATTGGGGCCCTGTATAGCCTTTTAAGAAAAGAATCTCTCCGGGTGAGCAGCAGATCTGGGAAGTGACAGTAAAACAGGATCTTCTTAGGCCGTCTGGCCAGCTTGAACACTGGGATACAGGCAGACACCTAACCAAAGCAAAAATTGACAGCAGATAAAGTGACTGGTCAACTCAGTCTCAACCACAGCAGAAGAACAGACAACCTGCCCTCCCTACCGGTGGGTGGCTCCATGGGCACTTCTGATTTGCTTTGTATCCTCCTTTCTAAGTCCAGTACAATGACTAGTATATAGAAGGGCAGCAGACATTTGCAGAATGGGTGCTAAATATTCAACACTTCAAGTCCAGTGGTTTCCTCCCAGTATCATCCAACAGAAATAAAATAAAAACCCAGTAACATTCAACATTTAAGGATGAAATTGATTTTAATATATTTTAATCATTTCAAAATGTAATAGATTCTAAAAAATATGAACGAAATGCTTGTTTTTCATATTAAATCTTCAAAATCAGGTTTATATTTTATACTTCAGCATATCTCAGTTCAGACTTGCCATGTTCCAAGTGCTCAACAGCCATATGTGGCTACCATGTTGTACAAGGTAGCTGTGGGATCTTTCTCTTCCTAAGGAATTAATAAATGAGCAACAGTAGTTTAGAGCATAGATTCTGGAATCAAGATTGCTAGGGTTTAAATCTCAGTTCTATTAACTGTGTGACCATGATCAAATAATCAACCCCTCTTTGGATTTCAGTTTCTTCTTATGTAACATGGTGACCATCATTAGACAAAAAACTAGTATAGTTTTTGTGATTATAAAATGTACTGATTTTTTATACTTACCAATTTATATTAAGAATTTAATATTCAGAATGTGCTCCATAAATATCAATCAAAATCATTACTGAGAATGAACTACAAACATTACCAGAGATTTTCCTATTGGGTAACCTTTACAAATCACTTAATCCCCCGCTCACTTGAATAACACCTGAAGGAGCTGAGGATATGGCTCAGTTGGTAGAGTGCTTGCCTTGCCTTGCCTTGCATGCACAAGGCCCCAGATTCAGTCCCCAGCACCACAAAACAACAACAAAACAAAACAAAAAAACTAAAACATTTGAAGAAGGTGAGCTTTAGGGATAGTGTGCAAATATATACAAACCTGCTTAAAGCAGCAGATACAGAACTTGAATATTCCTACCTCCAAGCCCTCTTTTTTTCTCTACCCAGTATATCTCAACTAGCTGACACATGCAGGTATTTGGAATGTTTGCATTTTTTGAAAAGAAATGACTTCCACATAAGCAAGGATGATCAAAAAAATAATTGAGGAGGCATAATTAAGGAAACAAATGCAAATATGATGCTATTTCCACTTATCAGTTTGGCAAAGATTAAAATGGTTGATGATATTCAATGTGGACAAGAGCACAGAGTAATAGGCTCTATCACAGACTGAGGGAGATTTAAGCCACACAACCTCTTTAGAAAGCAAATTTGATGACCAGTACTGACAATTAAAATGAAGTGCTCTTTGACCTACAACTTTATTTCAAGGAATTCACTCAAAGGATGTTTGCAGAAGTTAAAAAAAAAGGGTAGAAATGTTTACCACAGCACCAGCATCCTTCAACAGAATGCATAAATTATGTTAAATTCAAACAAAAGTGCATTTCCTGCCATTACAAAAAATGAAGTGAATCTCTGTAATGATATCTAAAGATTCTCCAAATAAGAGATTTTTGCTGAAAAAAAGCAAAGTGCTCAATAGTAGGTATGTCATAATTCCAATTATGTACAAATAAGATGTATCTATAAACAGATACACACATACTGGTATAGCCACAACTTTTGGGAGGATACAGGCACTGTTGACTATGGCTACCTTAAGGGACCAGGATGAGGGACCTTTACATTGTATTCTTTAATACTACTTGAAATTTTAGTTTAAAAATTAAAAGTCCTGAAGAAATGTTACTTTTTAAAATGAAAAACTGAGTGTTGGGAAAAAGTCTAGAATAGCCACAGGTAAAGAATTTGGACTTTCCCTCAAAGACCAATAGGGACCCATGTTAAAGTTTTATCAGGGATGTAACGTGTTTAGTTGGGTGTTTTATTTTTAATATGTTTTGAATTTTGAGACGGAATCTTGCTAAGTTGCCCGGCCTGGTCTTGAACACACAAGGCTCCTGCTTCGACCTCCCAGCTTTGTGTTTTAACATCAAAACATTGCTGATGGATTAGGGTGGCCTGGAAGCAGAGTCAAGGAGTATAATGGAAAAGAGGGAAGACAACACACGAGTTAGATGTAAAAGGTGACAGAAGTGGACTGCTAATGTTAATGTGCTTTAGGGCTATTCCCAAGTCCCATCTGTGGCAGAGCGCCTGAAGACCTGGTTAAAATGCAGATTTCTGGCCCCATTTCAGGGCTCCAGGATGAAAGTTTCCTGGAATGTGAGCCCTGCGACATGCAATGACTAGAAAACAGTCTCAATCCCGGTCCACAGGCCAGTTCCGACCTACACTGGGCAGAGATCCTCCCTCTGAGGCCTGCTGGCCTCCTCACCTGGTCGCACACAACCACGTCGAATTCCTCGTCTGCGAGGAACAGCACGTAGAGCGCCAAGAAGATCATGCGCACGTAGGCGCAGACCGCAGCACCGCGGCCGCCCCAGCCCAGGCTGCGCGGCAGCCAGTCCCCAGCGCAGCGCACGGGTAGCTCGCGACTTTCAGCGAAGCAGTGGCCCGGGTCATAGTGTGCTGTCCAGATCTTCACTCTACACCCGCGCGCCTGCAGCGCCAGCGCCGCGTCCAGCACCAGCCGCTCGGCGCCGCCGACGCCCAGATCTGGGTGTAGGAACAGCACCGACGGGCCGGGCCCAGAACTTCCCCCTGGATCCTGCCTCTGCGCCATGGCCCGGAAGCCGGGTCTACACCCCGAGCCCGAAAGAGGGCTTCCCGCAAGCTCCGCCCCCGGAACCCGCTGGCCACTGAGGGCTGACTGCGCCCCGCCGCGCGTGCGTCCGTTAGGACACATCAGCACAAATATGTGGTCGCCTAGTAACTGCCGGAGAAAATTTCTCGTCTGACTTGGCTAGAGCCTCCCTGTGGGAGACATTTGTCCCTGTGAAGGAAGCTTTTAACCAAGGAAAGGATACTGACGGTCTGTGCTTTCCACTCAGCCAAGACGCTACAAGTAGGATTTCTACAGGCACAGCGTGGGGCAACCCTAGCGTCCTTGGAGGCAGCGAGGACCCTGCCAGCAGGTTTGGGGGCGGGGCCTGGGCCAATCTCTCTATCCCTGGGTTCTCAACGCGTCCGGCAACTTTCCTGCCGTCTCCTCAGTTCCCTGTCTACCTTCAGCATGGTATGCGGCCCCAGACTTCTCTTTGGTCCCGCCTCTCCCGGGAGTGCTGCCTCTTGCCTTGTGTCTCGCTCTTCCCCCTGGGTTCCCTTGCTTCCCCAAGCTTCGAATGCGGGTGCCGGTCTCGGCGGTGTCAGCCCGCGGACCGGGGTGGGCCCGCGACGTTCACCGTCTGTCTTGTTTTTCTCCTTCTGCAGCCGGGTCCGACCCCCAGTGGCACTAACGTGGGCTCTTCTGGGCGTTCTCCCAGCAAAGCGGTGGCGGCCCGGGCGGCGGGATCCACTGTCCGGCAGAGGTGAGTATCTCCGCGGCCCACCCTCTGGCGGACTTCGGAGCGTTGTGCCCTGAGATTCATTGGATAAGGGGTGGAGACCTTTTGGATAGTAAGACTTACAAGGGCAAGATGAGCCTGAGGTGACCTGACCATTGGGAGGGAGCTCAGTTAGGGGGATGCCACTCTTAAAAAATAAGAACTAAACTGGAATAGGATCTGGGACAACTTTGAAAAAATGAGGTCATTAAGCTAATGTCTGTGAACTTGAGCTTTTGCCCTCACATTTCCATCAGGAGGTCCCCTACACACTTAAGTTTAACATAACTTGGTGGCAAAACTTTCTCCTTTCACTGTAACCGCCTTCCCCCCATAGTATCTTCTTACTTCCGTATGGCACTGCTATGCAGTCATTCACTCAATACCAGAAACTTAAGCATCATTTTTTTCTCATGCTCTCCGTGCAGTCATATAGTAGACTTTAAATCCTGCATGAAAAAATCTTCTCATTAGTTCATTTCTTCTCCATTTCCCGTGTCCTTTCATCTACTTTTGCATTAGTGGCTAACTTTTTTGTCCAAGCCATTTCCATTCCAATCCACCCTCCAGTCCTCTTTACTCTTCTGATTAGTTTCTCTGTTAGTTTTTCCTTGCTGATCATTTAGAAAAGAGCGACAACAAGGATTGGTGGTCTTTCCAGTCTAACCTCTCTCCTCCATCTCTTCTGTAATCTACCATTAGTGAATTTTTTTTTTTTTACTGTTTTTTGAACTGACTAGCTCCTAACTTGGTTTCTTACTCCCAGTTTATATTTATTTTCCCAAACTAGCTTAGTTTATTTCCTTGTGAGACCTCTGACAGTAGGCAGAGTAGCGCTACTATCCCCCCCCCAATACCATTTTGTTTATGTTATTTTAAGACCATTTATGTTTCCATATTTATCTCCTACTTTAGGTTTTGATAGAGCAACTGTTCAAGTCTTCTCTCTCCCCATTTTCTATAAGTCCTAACAAAATGATGAATTAATGAAGGGATCAAGCAACCCTATTGTTTTTGGATTTTTGAAGTAACTAGTAAGGTGGCATCTAGAGAGGAGATGAACTTAGGATCTATGAAAACTCTCCTTAAGGATATGAAGAGGGATGATTAAGATAGAAAATCTAGATTTATGGAAGAAAATCTAAAACTGATGATTTGAAAGTACATGAACTATTTCAACTCAGAACAAGAAATTCTAATAGGCCTGTCAGAAAGAGTATCCTGAAGAGAGAATTGGCAGTACTGAGGCAGGGAACTTTGGCAATTTGAGAGTTTTTAGAGAAAGAGCAAATGTTTAACTCACACATATAAATGTGCTATGTGCATAACTTGTTTACGTAATAAATAAGAATGAAGTAACAAATGAGTGGATAAATGCAACTTCTAAAGTTGTGAAAAAAAAGTTGATGTCATCTTTTAGGTTCAGTATGGTAGGGCTACCATAACTGAGAACATTTTTTTTAAAATTTATTTTTTATTTTTAGATGACTATCTTTATTTTGTTTTTATGTGGTGCTGAGGATTGAACCCAGTGCCTCACACATGCTAGGCAAGCACTCTAACTCCAAGCCACAATCCTAGCCCTTGAGAATATTTTTATGTCATTGAAAGACCCTGCAATAGTCTATTCTACAAGTTTGGTCCTGGTTAAGTATTACTTCAAGAATATAATGTAAAAGTATTGGCTAAGAACATAATGTAAAAGTATTGGCTATTCACATTTTGTAAGTCTTTGAGAAAAAGTTGAAGCTAATGGTTAATAATAATGCTGTTATAGTTTGAAGATTTGCATTCTACATGAATGAAGTAATAGAAGTGATGCAGGACTTAAATATTATTGGGCTGGAGTTGGAGTCTTTCCTCTGCTTTATTCAAGGTAAAAGGAACTTTCTGTGAGAATGAAAAGTAACAATAATGCATTAAAAACTGTAGAACTCTGAAGGGGTACACAGTATTCAAGCAGAATTAATGGGATTCAGGAATATTAAGATGGTAGTATATTAAGATGGTCATCAAGTAATTATTAGGGGTCTACTACATGCCAAACACTGTTGTAGCTTGAACGATATATCTGTGAACAAGATAGTCAGGGTTTGTCCTCATGAACCTTGTATACCAGTGTGGCATATTTATTTTGCAAGCCAAATAAATAAGTAACATAATTTTAGGCAGTAAAGGCTATGAAGAAAATAAAGCTGAGTGGGGAATAGAGAGTGTAGGGATAGGGTGGGGGTAGATAGTGTTTTTAGATAGGGTGTTCAGAGTGGTATTTGAGTAGAGAACTGAAAGAAGTAAGGGAGCAAATCATGAGGTGGTCTGGAGAGGAATAGACTTCTAGGTGGAAGGAATGGTTAAAGTATAAAACTGAGGTCAGTGAACTTGGCTTGTTTCTCAAACAGCCAGCAAGTCATTGTGTTAGAACAAAGTGTGTAAATAGGTCTGAAAATCATTTTGTTAGGGTATAGAAGGAGGAAGGCAGTTACAGGCCAGAAAGAATTGATAAAATAGATCTCAAATAGAAATTTAAGAGATTAAAGTGGGCTCTGTTATTAACCTCTGCTTAGTTCCTAGTGATGGAATGAGGTATTTTGACTATATTTTGGTATTTCTAGGGGCCCTGATTTTCAAATATTCTGCTGTGTCCCATGTACCACCAGATGTAAGAAATATTAAAAGAGATTACACTGATTCTGCTGGGGGTGCTGTAATTCCAACTTTGAAGGCAGGAAATTGAGAGAATATTGGCAAGAATGTGGGTCTTAGTCCTGGCTGAGCCAGTGACTTACCATGTTGACAATGGGTTTTACCTTCTAGGTCAAATTTCTCTTTAGGAACAAGGAGGAAAGTTTCAGGTACCTGCAACATGGGTTAAAGGCTGTGTATCTTTGAGTGAAAGCTTTTCAAAGTGCATGAATTATTCCGTTAATTATATTTGTAATTCACAATGAGTTTTTCCATAGAAACAGTTATACAAATAGAGTTGTAAGTGCCTAGTTGACCAAGTAGCCCATAATTAATGTGTCTGAAATATAATTCTCTAGTACATAGACCAAAATTATTGTTTGACACTAATTGCTTTCAGAATTACATCATGAACATAGCTTTTCCTGCTGGAACTCAAACTGGAAGTAGACCTTGGTTTATCCCCTCATCAGTAGAGAAAGCTCCTTGAGCTGTAGACAATGCTTTTTGCATTTAGAGTGTGATGTAAAAGAGGGGTGAGGTGGCCATTAAGACCAGAGTTGAGGAAAGCAAGAGGAATTGGGTTTTCACTTGCATTTCCTCCCAATATACTCTTCCCTTTTTCAAAAATCTAGAACCTGCAGTCCACATCTACTGGAATGGTATTTTAAGGGAGTGTATATTGGGACTTGGTTAATGATGGGGGCAGGGAATAAGACAGAGTTTTCCCTCTCTGCTCTTTATTTCTGCTCACTTAGGACTTCTGAGTTGGTGATAAGTGGGCTGGAAAAGATTCCTTTTGACTTCTCCTTCCACCACTTACTACTTACATCCATATTATACACTAGCACAGGGTGGGGATGAGCAGCTGGGATTGGGATAATGTGTGGATAATTGCTGCGTGGGGTTCCCTAGTGGCTGAAGGGTGAACCCAGAGAGGAGGGAATGGACTCCCTGGGCCTGTTCCTGGTCAGCAGTATCAATGCTGCTTGTCTGCTGTCTGCCAGGGCTGCCTGTCCTGTACCTCATCTTATAAGCCTTGTTCCTTTGGGAGGGACAGTTCTGTATGGGTGTTTTCTCCATTTTTCACATCCTATCTCTCTGTCCAAGATGTATGGTCAGTATATAAAATTGACAAAAACAAATTACAAAGTTTTTTTTCATAAAATAAAATATATTCCATTTTTGGAATCTGGATATAATTGAAGCTTATGCTTTTTCTTCTTTTTTTAGTAAATATAGTAATTTGAATATCTTTTAAAGTAGGATTTTAAGACTGATTATATAGATTTAGGGCATTTTAAAAAACAGAGGTTTATTACTTGATTTCACCAAAATACATGTATACAGAAACTGAAATGCACTGTCCAAATTAGAAGACTGTATATGGTGGACAATGGATGGGTGCTAGGGTCAGAACTGGGTCCACATTCCCTGTTGGCCACCTGCTGGCCGTGTGGTCTTAAGATACTTTGCTTAACCTTCTGAATCTAATTTCCTCATTTTTGAAGTGAGAAATAGTAACTACCTTTTAGGGTTATTGTATACATTACTATGAGACAGGTGCTTACTTCATAGTGGTTATGATCAGACAGTTAAAGCAGGAATTTAAGTCTT